GAAGGGAACCTTCAGGCCAGAGCTCAGGCTAACGAGCTGCATGTGAAGGAAAACAAGGCACTTGCTGGGGTTTGTGTGGAGAGATAACAAATTTAATTCCATGGTTCAGGAGCTGTAGATAGAACAGGAAGCTCGAGTGCTGAAGGGGAGATGGATGTTGTGTATCCTGGTGGGAGAGGAGCTCTGATGATCTTTAAAACCTTTTCTCAGTGAACAGTTTGAAGTTCTCATGGCTGTCTCTGTCTCTCCAGGAAAGCTTCACTCTTTTGTAGCTGTCTGATGTCCTGAAGGACTTGGATTCTCTTTTAAGCAATAAGAAGAGCAAGTGTTGAGGTTTATAACATGGGTTAAACTGTCAGATGTTGATGGTATTCCCCAGGGAAGGATCTCTGGGTCCTGTCAGCTTGCCAGTGCTGTCTGCTTTAAGATAAGACATCAAAGCCAGGCAGAAGCTGTAAATGAGTGGGCACTTAATTATCAAACTAAGTGAAAAGTGTGCAAGAATAAACAGGTAGAACTAAGTCCTGTGATGGATCTTCACTGCAGTCACTGAAGGAACCTCAAAAACAGTAATTTCCTGATGTGCACTCAGACCTACTCCTGCAAGCTGAGAAGTGGAGGATGGGAGTCCTGGATAAGCCCCTAACCAACCTAACTTGCTGTTCTCTGGGAGCAAACCTTCCCCATGGGTCTCACCAAAGCCTGTTAATCAGGATACTTCAGAAAGCAGGTGCTGTAGAAGCACCCCTTGGGCTTTTGGGGTTTACATACCTTGACATCAGGGACAGGTAAAGTTCTGCTTGTTCCCTGGCTTCTCCTCAAGAGGCTGAAGCTTGCCTGGCTGCAGTGTGATCCTCGGGCATGCCAGGAGCCTGCCAGGTTTTGGGCAGGGTGCTGAGTCAGAGCTCCAGCTGTAGTGGAGAAATCAGGAAAACCTTCTCAGACATGGTGCTGCCTCTGCAGTGCTTTGTTACAAATCAGAGGGCTTGGATTTGTACAATCCTCTGGTCTCCCAAGCAATATAAACCCTGAAGTTCCAGTAATTTTTGTCCAGTGGGAACTCAGGGAGTTTCCCCATGGCCTAAGGGCCCTGGAGTCTGGTGGTGCAGACACTGTGCCATCAGAGAACTGGTGAGACTGGAACTGGCAGTGTCCTCCAGCTTGGTGATGGAAGTGCCTGGCAGCATGGACTGCTCCATGCCAGGCTCCCTGCACTCCCTGCCTAGGTGTCCTTGTGCAGTCTGCTCCTCTCCTGGCAGCTGTGTTCCCCTTTTTTTTTTTTTTTTTTCCAGAATAGCTAGAAGAGTTTCCTGTATCAAGTTTCCACCATGTGGATCAGCTCCTTGTCCTTGGCTGTTTGTGCCACATCCAGGACTTGACACTGCATCTCCTGCCCCTCTCCCTGGTCTGCATGAGCACAAGAGGGAGATGAGGCTGGGCAGTTACTGGGGTTTGCAGAGCTAATTCTGCTGTTCCCTGCTGGCAGCCAGGGAAATAAAACTCCAAACTGAGCTTCCCAAAGAGCAGGTAGACTGCAGCCAGGGCCTGATGGCTTTGTGCTGCTGCCAAGCCCTCCTAATGCCAAGCTAGGATTTTCCTTTGGCTATTTGAAGTCTCTGACTCCATGTAAGAGTGCTGGAAATGGCATCAGGGGACCTGATCCCTTCTTTGGGGAGGTGAAACCCCTTCAGGGTCCGAGTTAAGGGGGGTGGTTCTGCCCTTCCATAACGTGACTGCTGCAGTGTGATCCAGGCCTGATGCAGGATATTGCCTTATTTGATGTTATAGCAGAGGCATTCAGTGCAATGCTACAAACTCAGTGTATCAGAACCTGCTGTTTACCAGTGGCTGGGTTGAACTCACTTTGTTTCTGTATCCTGCAGTGTAAGAAAAAAACAAACAGCATTTGTTTGGCCAGCTCAGGCTGCAGGAAAGGCACAGCCTCACGTTCATGTGACAGGCTGGTGCAGAGGTGTTGGAGTGGTTTCTGCTGGGGATGGGCACTGGTGCAGTGCTGTGGAAGAGCAGAGTGACTGCACAGTCTGGGGTGTGCAGGGGGCTGTGCCAGGAAATGCCAGCACAGGCAAATGAGCAGCAGGCACCCCTGGGCAGACTGAGGGCAGAGATGTCCTCAAAGGCAGCTGAACCTGGGATAAATATTTTCTGCCTTTTTCTGACTGACAAGGCAGCTCAGTGCACCCTGCTGTCTGATACCTTGTGTCCTGGGCATCTTGCATTTTCTTCCTGCTGGGAATGCAAGAGCCAGATGGTTTTCTGTTCTTCCTCCTCAGCTCAATTGCAAACTAAAATGTGTGGGACTGCAGCCTCTTCCCTCTGCTGCTGAGGGCCATGGTCCTTGTCCTCACCTTGTCACATCTTGGCCATGTCTCTGCAGTGCTCCTTCCTGGGAGTCTGGGTCTTGCTAGGAAGCAGTGACATGGTTAACAAGGCTCCCTTCCTGCTTTTACAAGTTCCCTGTGAGCTCCCTAGGGGAATCTGCTGTCTCCACAGGTGTACCTTCCATCTGTCAGCCAGTTTGTTGAAAGGATTTTGACAGGCAACTTTCCTCCGTAATCCTTAATAGCTTCGAATTTAAAATGTTTATGGCAAAGCTAATCCCACGAAACTCCCTGTAGTTTTGATAAATCTGTCCTCCAGCAAGACTCTTCTGGTGAGAGGAGGTAAATCTACTTCTCCCTGCAGTGATAAATATCTGCAGACTTGGCTGTGGGGCACCTGCTTGTTCCTCACTTCAGAACTGGTGTCTCTTCTCAGGGAGAATCTTGCTAAAAGCAAAATTTCATCTGGTGATCAATCTCCACAACCCCTGTCATGACAGAAAACTCTTGGAGTCAGTGAGTCTCTTGTATGGCTGTTGGTGTTGGACACTCCATTTACAGCTGGAAGAGAATAACTCAGGCTGGGATTTCTGGATGCTTCTATTTCCAAATCCCTCACTCAAAACAAGGCAGTTTAGGTGGGATAAACCCCCAGGTAACCTGATGGAGTCTTTGGTTTCTCTGAGGACAGACAACCCAGAAGCTCTGGGGCAGGGGCACACCTTGGTTGTGCTCCCAAAGATGTCTTTAACCCACAGAAACATTACTGTGGTTTGTGCAGGTGTCATTGAGAGGGAAGAACAAAGGGAGACATTCTGTAAAACTGCAGAGCAGAGACCCAGCACAGCAGGCAGGCTGGAGGCAGTGTACCAGTGTCTCACCACGGGTATTTGGGCACACTGTGGTTGGGCCCTGCTGCGGGAAGCAGGATATCACAGGGACCCCAGGGCCCTGTGGTTAAACTGTCACCGTTGTCTTGGCCAGGACAGGGGTGTGAGGGTTGGCCTGGCACTGGAGCTGGGGGTGGCATCGCTGCCCTGCTTACCTTGGGCGGGAGCACTGGCAGCTGCCCTGGCACCCTGCTCTGTGCTCTTTGTCCTGTGCCACTGGCAGCTGCTGATAGTCCCAGGAGATCCTGCCCTCATTCGTGTGACACCCATTCCCTGCTCCCTCACTGTCCCTCACCCTGCAGCAGAAGCAGCTGTGCTGGTTTGCACAGGAAGACCCTCTTCCATGTAGAAAATGGTCTGCTGTTCCTCTGCCAGGCTCTGGAGCGTCCTGTGGAGCAGCACAGACGCACACAGCAGCAGGGGTGGCGGTGCAGGGTCTGCTTGCTGCCTCTGCCTTGAGGGAAAGGGCTGGAGGGGGTCTGATCAGAGACTCTGCTTGCTGTGGGGGAAACAGGCTTAGCTGTGGCCTGGTTTTGGGAGGAGACATCAGCCAGAGCATGGCTGAAGAGCTGCAGGAGGAGTGGATGTTCTGGAATGTGCAGGTCAATATGGTGTGAGCAACCGTGAGTCATTCAAGGCCATTCCAATGAGGTCCTGGCTGGGCCTTTGGCCTCCTGCTCCCCACCATAAATGTGGTTATCTGGGCCCAGAGCAAACCTTGTCCTTACAGATCCTTGTGAAAGTGACTCAGTGTTTGCAGAAGCCTTTCACATCCAAACCATTACCTAATCCTTTACTGCCCTGAGGTGGCTCACAGGTTCCTGCTTTGGTGGCCTGATTCCCAGGTGGCTGTGCCCAGGGTGTGTCCTGGGGGAAAGGGGACAGTGGCCATGCCCAGGCTCAAAGTGGCACTTGGCAGCTGTAACCAGCCCAGCGGAGCAGCCCTGTGCAGCTGCTGTGGGGTGTCCTGTCTGCTGCAAGGGCTCCTCCTGCTCCTTTCTGGGGGTGGGAAGCTGGTGCAGACTTGGCCAAAGCTGCTGCCTGGCTGGCTCCAGGCAGTGATGGTGTTGTGGGAGCTGGAATGGGATTATTGTGATACCAAGTGGTGCTTCCCAAGTTACTGAGGGAGCTCTGTGCTCATCATGTCCATAATCCCTTTGTGGTTTTTGTGGTGCATGAGGCAGGTAACGCTGTTAACCTCAGTGAGGAAAACCCAGTGTGGGGGGTTTCCCCTTCACCGTGTGAGCTTTTGAGTCCTCATCTGTGCATGTGCCGGAGGGAGTTGTAATTGTGCCATCTCAGAGATTCTTTGGGTGTCTCTGAAGCGTGCCCCATGCTTGTGGGAAGTGGAAAAGATGAACACCCTGTAGCTCTGGTGTTGTTAACCATGCAGGTAGCTCATAACCCTGGGCCATCTCCTCCCTCTTGCTTTGACTGTCCCTCTCCCCTGCATCGCCAACTCTCATCTTACAGGTGAAAGGCATCTCTTTTCTAGAAGCCTTTTCTCGTTCTGGCAGATGCTGATCTCTCAAATAAAGCCCAAGGCCTGCTCCTTTTGTTGTGGGTCTGGAGCACAGCATGATTTCCCATCTGGCTCCTGCTGGGGATGGGAGCAGAGGCAGAGCTGGATGACAGAGCAGGACTTTGGAGCTGACTGCCTCCTCCTGCCTCTCTCTAGAGACGCACAGGAACACCCAGAGGTGTGATGGGAATATCAGAAGGCTGGGGTTTAACCCAAACGTCTCTTTTCTCTCCCCCTCTCTCCACACAGGTGACGGAGCTCAACGAGCCCCTGTCCAACGAAGAGAGGAACCTGCTGTCCGTGGCCTACAAGAACGTGGTGGGGGCGCGGCGCTCGTCCTGGCGAGTCATCAGCAGCATCGAGCAGAAGACCTCTGCTGATGGCAACGAGAAGAAGATCGAGATGGTCCGCGCCTACCGCGAGAAGATCGAGAAGGAGCTGGAAGCCGTGTGCCAGGATGTGCTGAGCCTGCTGGACAACTACCTGATCAAGAACTGCAGCGAGACGCAGTACGAGAGCAAAGTCTTCTACCTGAAGATGAAAGGGGACTATTACCGCTACCTGGCCGAGGTGGCCACCGGCGAGAAGAGGGCGACCGTGGTGGAGTCTTCGGAGAAGGCCTATAGCGAAGCCCACGAGATCAGCAAGGAGCACATGCAGCCCACCCACCCCATCCGGCTCGGGCTGGCCCTTAACTACTCGGTTTTCTACTACGAGATCCAGAACGCGCCGGAGCAGGCCTGCCACCTGGCCAAGACGGCCTTCGACGACGCCATCGCCGAGCTGGACACCCTCAACGAGGACTCCTACAAGGACTCAACGCTCATCATGCAGCTCCTCCGCGACAACCTAACGCTCTGGACGAGCGATCAGCAAGACGACGACGGCGGAGAAGGCAACAACTAGACCCCCCCGATGGACTGGCAGCCGCACGCTGATGCTAACTACTGCAGTCTTTATTTTTTTCCCACGAGTGGGGGGGGGTCCGGGGTGGGGGAGGGAAAGGGAGGGGACACCTTCCCAGGGAGGCCCCCCACAACCTGTCTTTGATTGCCTCGTTGACATTTTTGCCAAAACACCACTAGTGGAAGTCAGGCTGGCTGTGCTGGTATGGAATAGCAGCCTCACTGGCATATGGACTGTTCTGTAGATTATTAATACAAGTGGAGCTGTCTTTAATTTAACTTTATTGCTAGAAATAAAAAAAAAAAAGGGTTTTAAGACGAATTTGCGTGGATGGAATGGCCCTCATTTGGAAGGAAAGCAACGCAAAAACATTTGGAAAAAAAAAAAAAGGGGAGTTCTGTGGTTCCAGTAAGGCTTCGAGCGTTTGTTTCCGCAGCCCAGGTGCCGTGTGCCCGCACCACGTCGCGGGGCCTCTCTCTGCAGCTCTGCCTGCAAATCCCCAAATTGAGAAGGAATTAAAAATAAAACCAACAAAACTAAGATATTTGGGGCTTGCAAAGCCCTGGGATTTAGGCCATCCAATCTTTTTTTTTTTTTCTTTTTTTTTTTTTCCCTTTTTTTTTTTTTTTTTTTTGGTTGAGATATTTATTAGGGTAGCTTACAGTATTAACACTAAATTGCAGTTTACAGTATTTCTACATTACAGCCATATGACATCAAGCCTTTGATTGTCTGTTTTTCTTTCTTTTGCTAGTTCTTTTGGCTTGCCTTCCTGAGCAGTCCTCGCCTGTGGACTGGCTTTAGCTATTCTGTGTCGCCCAAGGCAAGAAGACTGCCCGCCCGAGGAACATCAAAGCTGCTCTAGTTTTTTGGTCAACAGCTTAACAGGTGCTTGGCTAGCGGCTGTTTCAACTATTTTAAGTCCACAGCAAAAGGTTTAAGAACTTAATTAGACAAAGGGGGAAGTGTTTAAACTTAAAAAAAAATGCCACTTAAATAAAAAACAATAAAAAAATATTAAAAAAAAAGAGCATTCAGGTCTGTATGTCATGTACTGTGTTTGGTATTTCAAAAGACCATCCTGATTTAAGGTGCCACAGCTGCTTCCTCAGGGATTGCACTGCCATTTCACTCTGCCTGACTTTCTCCCACTGTACCATGAGGTTTGTCAGCAGATCTCCAGCACCCAGGGCTCCCTTGTTTGTCACCAGGGAAGCCGGGTGTGTTTTCCTTTCTCCTGGGGAAGCTTGTGGTGTAATGAGTGAACTTCAGGAGCTTAGACACTAATTTGGTAGAGAAATTCCTCAAGGGAAGAGCTACAATCATAGACATTTCTGTCCACCATCGGGAGCCCAGGAACTTAGTTCTCTTCTTAGCAAAATCTTTTCTCAGTCTGTCTGATCCGGCCGGGGGTGGGAGTTGGGGCATCTGAATTGCTTAGCAGGTACTACTTACCCCATTTTGAGTAAGTTTAGCTTTAATTTTGATTTTTTTCCATGGTTGTCGGAGGTTCAGTGCTGTTGTCTGGCTCGCGGAGCGCTGCGCCCTGCAGCGCTTCCCCAGCGCCGCGCAGCGAGGAGAACCCGCGCTGGTGCTTTGATTCAACCCTTACCGTGATTCTGAGATTCTGACGCTGATTTGGAACCAGGCTTTCCCCAGCCCGACACGTGGTGAGGCACACACGGCACTGCTGGGGCACGGACACGGCTCCGGCCCCGGGAGCGCCCCAGCCCGGCTTGGTTTGGTTTGGTTTGGTTTGGTTTGGGCCGGGCTCCCCCTGCTCCGAGTGCCCCGCAGGGAATTGGGGGCGCAGCATCCCACGGTGAGGGTGTGCGGTGCCGCTGTGTGCCGGGACCGGGAGATGCTTTAGGCTTTCATCCACCCCCGTGTCCCGTGAGCAGTGTTGTCCCAGCTGTATAATTGGAAGTGATTTACTGGAATTACAAAACTTATCTTCTTTTTTTTTTTTAATGTTTTTTTTCCCCGAATAATTACTACTCTTTTTGGCTTTTTGCTCTGGCTGCTTTAGGAAACTTATGCAGGAGAGATGGCACAAGAGGGCTAAAAACGGAGTGGGGGTCAGGGACTTGATTTTTAAGCAGCTTGAATGGTTTCTTTCATTTTTTAAGAGATGCACTTGCCTATGATACTGTCTCTCCAGTGAAATGATTACTGCTCCATTACTCTATTGATACAATATTGTGCATGCTAGTGTCGTATTTCTATACAGTAGCTTGAAATTTATTAACTTATACTGTAGATGTTATGTATTCCTATGACAAAATAGTCTTCAAAAATTTTTTAAAGTTTTTTAATTTATTTTTCTTTCCTTTTTTTTTTCGGGGGTAAAGTTTGCTCTACCAAATAGTGATCGTAACAAACTGATCTGTTATGGATGTTGCTATAGTGACATGCAATTATATATGATTTTGTTTTTAAAAAGGAAAAAAAAAAAGCAAAAGAAAACACCAGTGTTAGCTTAATCTTAATGTCTGGTGTTCGTCATGGTGAAATTATAACTATTACAGTGTAGGAGAACAATGACTGTGTTCTTTGAATGAGCCTTTGTTTGTGCTTTTTGTCATGTTATGCAGTGAACTATTTTTAAGGTCTAATCAGTGATTATTTTTCCAACTCCGTGTTTCTGTAAGGAATTATTTCACACACGGACCATTCTTAGCAGTTTTTCCTCAGTGATGGAATATCATGAATGTGAGTCATTATGTAGCCGTCGTACATTGAGCAAATAAACTTACAGATCTGACGTCAGCGCTGCTTAATTGTTATCGCCTTGTCTCGACTTTCTGGGGGGCTCCGTGGGGCTCGGGGGGCTCGGGGACAGCCTGGGCTCTGCTCCTGGGGCAGCGCTGGGGATCCGCGTCCTGCTCAGGCTTCGGGCTCCCCCCGGGGCTCTGGGGGCGGGGGAGCCGCGGGGAGGGTTCGGGAGGGGCTGGGCGGCTCCTTCCCCACCCCCGCCCTTCCCCACTTTCGTCCTTCCCCACCCCCGTCCTTCCTTCCCCACCTCCGTCCCTTCCCCACCCCCGTCCTTCCTTCCCCACCTCCGTCCTTCCCCACCTCTGTCCCTCCCCACCTCCGTCCCTTCCCGACGCTTTTCCTCTCGCAGCCACACGCGCGGTGACTCACGCTGTAAAAATATTCCCCTCCCCGCCAAGCTATAAACAGAAAATGCGCCTTGACTCAGCGCCCTGCGAGGGATCGGGGCTGCAGCACCCACCCCACCCACGGCAAGGGGTGCGAGCAGAGGGGCTGGGGGCTCACAGGGCACCCCCACACAGGGAGGGACACCCCGACCCCATCCCAGCGCCGTGGCCCTGCCGCAGCCCCCACCCCCGGCTTATTTTGGGAAGCAAAATTCACCGTGGAGAGGGCACGGGAGAGGGGAGGGGGCTGGGGATGCTCCTCGAGGGCTTCTTCCCCTGGAGTGAGGCTGGGGCTGGAAAAGCCTCACACACAAATGGGAACCCCCCTCTCCAAGCACAGGAGTGACCCCCAACAGCAGGAATCGATCACCAGGATCGGGAATTGATCCCATTGATCCCCAGGGTTTGCCTGAGATCTGCCAAACTCAGAGTGCTGGGCAGGGGGATGAGGAGCAGGGGCTCGGGGGCACAGGGAGCCCCCCGAGCTCGGAGAGGGGCCTCACAACTGCAGGATTCCTCCCAGGTCAGCGTCGGCCGGGGATGACTCAGGGGGGATTAGTGGGATTTGACTGAGCAGGGAACATCGGGGGACATCGTGGGCCTGACCTCGGCCATGTAGGGCCAGTCCTGCCCAGCCCCAGGGCAGGGAGGGCACAGGGGACACGGGGCCAGCCGGGGCCAAACGGCACCAGGGCACAACCCAAACCCTCTCCAGCCCCCACAGAGGCTGTGGGCCCTGAGCTGAACTCCCAAACCCTCAGACAGGGGGGTGGAGGGAAGGGGGAGCCCTGGGGCAGGGCTGGGGCTCAAGGGGCTGCACTGCTGGGTGGGTTCTTGCCCATGGAGCCCCTGTTTGCCCTCTGACCCAAAGGGAGTGTTTGTGCACTTGTTTTTTGGGGATGCAGCAAAAAAATATTTGGGTGTGGAAACTCCAAATATTCTCTGATAGGGCATGTGGATACCCTGAGTGTGGGAGAGCAGGGATGAGGAGATCTGGGACTGGAGACACGTGGGATGTAGGAGACCCAGATTGTGGAAAACTGGGATGCTGAGACAGGGATGCTGGAGACCTGGCATGTGAACACCAGAGATGTTGGAGACGTGGGATGTAAAGCCCCCAGAGTGCTGGACGTGGATATGGAGAGCAGAGATGAAGGAGACCCAGGTGTGGGATAACCAGGTGTGGGATATTCCAGGGTGTGAAGGTCTGGGACATGGACCCCAGGTTGTGAAGCCTTGGGATGAGAACAGCGGGGATGTGGAGCCCTGGGTTTCAGACCCCAGTGCTGGGCAGGGCTCGGGGACCCCTCTGGCCCCAGGCAGCCCCGTCCCGGTGCTCTGGTCCCGGGGCAGCTCCCACAGGAATGGCACAAGGACAGGTTTCTTTCACCAGCTTTTATTCCGGCTGATTCTGTCGGTTCCTTCACATTTACTCAAGGCACTCAGTGGCAGGGCGAGTACAAAATCAACAGTAAAAAGGGGGTGGGTGTGAGGGGGCAGCTGGGGGCGGGGGTAGCAGCGCGGCTTCTCCTCTTCCTCCTCTTCCTCCTCCTCCTCCTCCTCCTCCGTCTCCTCCTCCTCCTCAGTGCCGCCTACTTCTTGGCCGGCTCCTTGGCCTGGCTCTCCACGGTGACGGGGATGGTGATTTCGGCAGACTGGATGGCGGGTTTGGGCAGCGGGGCCTCCACTGTCAGCATTCCATCGGGAGACAGCGAGGACCGCACGGCCGTGGCCTCCACACCCGGGGGAAGGCTGCAAGGAGAGGAGAGGGGAGGTGAGGGCTGCAGCACCGACCCAGGGGATGCAATGCTCAGCCCCAAATCGCTGCCTCTCCCACTCCCAGCTTGGCTGAGCAGCATTCCCAGTTTGGCCAGTGAGGTTTGGAGGGTGTGGGTGGGTGGGAAAACGTCCCCAAGACATCGGGGGTGCGCCAGGTGTCTCCCCTCCTCCCTGGTACTCACGTGTATTTTCGGGTGAAGCACCTGGAGATGAAGCCGTGCTCATCCTGCTTCTCCTCGTGTTTGCCTGCAAGGGAGCAAAACCTCTCAGTGGTTGGGTGGGAACCTTCCTGCCCCACCCCAACACTTGTGAGGGGCTGATTCTGCCCATCCTGGGGCTGATTCTGCCCATCTTGGGGCTTTTGCCATAATATCAGCCTGCAGCAACATGGGGGGACCCTCTGCATGGCCACCACGGGTGCATCCCCCAAATTTAAGCAGAGGAAAGTGCAGTGCCAGGAGCTGGGGGTGGCCAAAGGGGCCCAGCAGTGTCCAGCTGGCCCCACAGCTTGGCAGGGCTGGAGATTGAGCAACCCTCTGTCCCTGAATTCATCTGGGAACTGCCCCCATTCCTTGCAGGCCCTCCCTCACAGGGCAGGAAGCTCATCCTGGCCTCGTGCCACAGATCTGGGCTTTGTCACAGCATCCAGGCTGCTGTGGGGGCTGCGGGGCTCACGACACCCCAGGACCCTCTGTGGCTCCGTGTGTCCTTCCAGAACAGCAGCAAGGGGTCAATGTATGGAGCTGGGGAGGTCTTTGCACTGAGTGCACCCTGAGACTGAGCTGCAATGCTGGACCTTCCTCCATGCCTCAATTTTCTCTTTCCCTTTCTCCTCCTCTCTCCTCTCCTCCATCTCCTCCTTTTCCTTCCCCTTATCCCCATCCCTTATCCCACATTTTTCCCCCATCAACCTCCAGCACAGCATCTCCCCCACCCAGGAATCCCCACCCCAGCACCCACCGGTGATCTCCACGATGTTATCCTTGGTTTTCACCACCAGCTCCTCGGGGGCGAAGTGGTTGACGTCCAGGGTGACCTTCCAGCTGTCGGCGGTCTGGCGGATCTCGGAGATGCCGCTGCTCAGCTGCCGGCTCAGCACCTGCCCGAAGGGCGAGCCCGGCGCCGGCATCAGGGCGCTCTCCCGGGGCAGCAGGCGGAAATAGCCGGGCCAGGCGCTGCCGCTCGGCCACTTGTACCAATCCTCGGGGATGTGCGGCATCCCGAAGGACTGGTCGAACAGGCGGCTGCCATGGTACCTGGGGAAAAACAACAATCGCTCGTTCTTAAAATTTTCAGAGTTTAATAGTGTTGTGGTTTGAGAGGAAGTGAGTTTTTTGGGATGCCGCGCTGCTCAGATTTGAATATTGGCAGCCGGTGTGGCCACTGGGGACGTGGATGCGCCTCTGAGAACAGAGGGGTTAAAAGCAGAGGATTCCCAGGAAATCTTTTTCTTGGGTTCCAGTGGGGAAAAAGTTCGGATAAAACGGTTATAAAAAATAATAATATAATTATAGAGTAATAATAATTTAGATAATTTGAATTAGGACAATATTAGACAATAAATATAAAGAGTTACGGATGTCTGGG